CTCCCTAAGCAGCCAAGGAAGAGGGAAGGAACTTCCACAGCAACACAGTGGTGACCAAAAAGGAATTCCTCAGCTCCCTTCTGTCCCCTGGGGGGGTTTCACCTCCTCTCCCCGTCCGTGGGTGTGATTTACACACACACTTACGTTCCCCCTCCCCACCGCTCGGAACCTGGCAGGGCTTGGCATTCCCTTGGGAGAGCTGGAGATCAGGGATGCCAGGAGTGCCTCCATGTTGCTGGTGGGAAGTCCTTTCCCCTTTGGCCTGCTTGCCTTGCAGAGCTCCACGCTGGTTTCCTTCCTCTTGGTGCTTTGAGCTTTGGCTTCTCCCGGGAAGGGTAAAATAATCCAGGTTTTAGGGTGGGGGCAGGAGCTGAGCTTTAGGACGTGGCACGAGCCCACTCTGGGGTGATTTAGTGTTTTGGGGTCTCTGGGTAGAGCAGAGCACCGAGCTGAGATGCCAAACCAGTGCTTGGAGCAGAGCAGGGGAACCAGGGCGTGCGGGAGCAGGGAGGGGCAGGAATGGCAGCCGCGTTCCCTCGGGATATCTGGTCCTGACGGCCGGGGCTGCCCCGCTAACTTATTACAGGAAATATTGATCCATGTGAATGAAGCCAGGAGTGAATCAATTGGAATAAAACCACTCAATGGTAGGAGTTTTCTTGCTCCAGTTTTTACCTTTCCTTTGCCTTTGGAGGTGGTAGTTGGACCTTCCCTCTGAGTAGTTCGGTGCCGTAGCCAACTGAGGAATAAACCCCCATTTTTAGTCCCTCTTTTTGGAGCATATACTTTGTACTTTTTAAAATGAAGAAAACAGGAAAAAAAAAAAAAAGATAAAGTAGGTAGCGAAGAAGTGCTAGAATTTGGAATTGGGTTGGGATGGCTGGGATGGGAATGCCAGAACTACCTCCTGCGGACAGCCGGGGCGGGCAGCGGAGCTGGGGACAGCTGGGGTCACCTCCCACGGGGCTGGAGGCTGGGGAGGGAACAGCCTCACCAGGCAGATCTGGGAGATCCTGATGAGACCTCCAGGCTGCCAAAACTTGGGAGAAAAATCCTGCAAAAAATCCTTCTCTGCCCGTGGTTCGGGTTCTCCGGCCTCATCCTGCCCCGGGAGGGTTTGGGGCTCCCTGCCGAGGGCCCGAGGCTGCTCCTGGATTGGAAGGGTGGCTTTTGGCCCTGTGAGGGGGTGTGAGGATGGGCTGGAGGGAGGCTCCCAAAAATTCTGGAGGCTCCAGAACCACTTCCACCATTTAAGAAGAAAGGATTTGCCGGGTGCTCCCAGCACAGGCTCCGTGGTGCCTCACAGGGAGCGAGGCCCGCCCGCCTCCCCTCCCATTCCAAGGCTTCCTTCCCCTCCAGGGTCTTTGGGTGAGCATGGGATTCCTGGGGCAGCCCTTAGTCCAGTTTAGAGTAACCTCAGGTTGTTTTTAGCGTGATCAATGCCAGGGATCCAGGGGGAGACTATTTTTTACTGTCCTAGTGCTGATCCTGCCGAGGACCTGGATCCCAGACACTGTTTTGTTTCTGTATAAATAATCCTTGTGCCGACTTTTTCACCTGATCTCTGTATAGGGCCCGTTTGATTCCTGCAGCAGCCACCCAATTTTGTGAAATAAAAGCAAAAAAAAGCGGTTTTTGTACAAAGCTTGTGGAGTTTTTGGAGTCTCCTTTGCCTTTGTGTGCAGGATGAGCTGGGAATCGGGGTGATCTGGGGCTGTGGGACAAGCACAAAGCCTGAGCTTGGAGGAGACACCGAAGCCACGCAGGGAAGGGAAGGCTCTTCACACGCTCAGAATTGCTGCCTTGGAAAGGCTGTTCCAGGTTTTCAGAGCCTGATGAATGCAGATGAGGTGCAGCAGCAGCCCAGGCCCGGCAGGATCGTGGCTGTTGGATTCCTGCTTCCCGCTGGCTCCGGCTCGTGCTCCCAGTTGGATCACACTTGAAAGGAGAGCTCTGAAGTGGCAGGTTGGAAGGGGAGAGGGTTGGGCTCACTGACCTGGAGGGGTCCCACTGCTCCTCCACCCACTCCTCTGATGGGTTCATTCTGATGCTCTTCCCTCCTCTCCTGCCAGGCTCTGGAGCTGCCAGGAGGGTTTTACTTTTTGATTAAACTGGATTATATTCCAGCCATTCCTGCTGCTTCACCCAGGGAGAGCCTTTCCCTTGGAAGAAGAAGCACCTCTTTCCAGGATCCCATAATGCCCACAGTCCCCAGTTCCCTGAGAAGGAAAACCCCTGGGTCCAGGAGACCCCACAAAAGCCCCATCCCCAACTGGGAATTCCTCCTTGGATGGCCTGGGGTCTCCTGCTGAACATTCCCTCAGTGGGCTCCTCAGTGCTGCTCCCACACAGGGCAAGGAGGAGAGGGAAGGAGCTTTTGGATCTTTGGGCTTGGAGCAACCTGGGCTAGTGGAAGGTGTCCCTACCCATGGCAGGGGTGGCACTGGGTGAGTTTTAAGGTCCCTTCCCACTCAAACCATTCTGGAATTCTGACCCTGCTGTGGGTGTTGGGATCCCCACAGTTGGGCTGGGAATGGGATGAGGGCTGGGATTGCTGCTGGAGCTCAGAGTGGGTTAGGGAGTGAATTCCTTCCTGTTCACAGCTTTTTGGCACAGATACATCGACCTGAAGGCGGGTTTAGGACAGGGCTCCAAAGTGGCTCAGTGTGTGCTCCAGAACTGCAGGGGAGTCATTTGAATCCAAGGTTTCATCAGGATAAAGGGAATTACCTGCCTGGGATGAGCCCTTCTGCCTGCTCCAGAAAATTCCCTGTCCCTCCCACTAACATACACAGCTGGGAAGGGTTTGTATCTTCATCCCAGTGATCAGACACTGCTGGACAGGGGGAATGGTCCGTGGGGGTTTCTTTCCTCAGCTCCACAGGGATGAGGCAGCGGGAATGGGAACCAGCAGGAATGGGAACCAGCACTGGCACCTCTGCTTCCCACATCCCAATAACTCACCAAACCTCCTGCTGTCCTGGGGGGCCAAAAAAAGCTGGGGGTTGTGCTTTTCTGGCTGATTTAAAGCCACAAATGCCCCTTGGGTCACACAGAGGGTGGGGGGTGTCCCAGTGTGTGCGGGCATGTTGTCCCCCAGCGCTGTCCTTTCCTCCCCGTGCCTGTCTCACGAGAACATTCCAAAGGATTTGGAAGGCTGGAAGCTCCTTGGGAGGTTTTACAGGACCGAGTATGAGGCTGACCCCGGCGCCCATCCCCTGGATAATCCCCCCAAATCCCGTAGGAAGAGACGTGCCCCAGACAAGAGGTGACAGGGTGGCTCTGGGTGACCTGCCAAGGGCTGGGCCGTGCCAGGGCCGTCCCTTCCAGACCCTTCCCGTCCCTTCCCAGCTCCCTCCAGGAACAGTCGCTCTTTGTCTGCTCCAGCTCCTGCCCGGCCGCCTGTGCTGCCCGGCTGGGAATTTCCCCTTTCACTGGCACCCCGGGACGCTGCCGGGGTCAGGGCACAGGGACCCTTTCCAGCAGCCCTGGGAGCCCTTGGGACGTCTCCTGGAGGCTGCAACGGGAAACCAACGGGTGACTGTTGGGAATTTTTTTCCCCCCAAATCCCTCGTTTTCTGTCCTTCCAAGTTGCAGTGGGATAAAAACAACCTGGTGCCCATCAAAGCCAGCAGCCTTACAGGTGTGCTCCCAGGAGTCCAGCACTGGGATGTGACTGGTGGTCCCCTCGTGCCAGGACTGACGTTGCCCATCGGGCTCCATGTGGCTGATCCGGCCAGCAAAGATCTGGAGTGGTCACTTCCCTGGGCAGGATCAGCCCAGTGGGATCTGAGGGGCACCCGTCCCTGTGCTGCTGGGAGAGCCACCAGATCCCCGCAGGATCCATTCCACGGCTCCCTCCCAGCACTGGGGACCAGGACGTTGTGGTCCCGCTGATCCGGAGCCGGCGCAGCCCTCGGAGGATGCTCGGATGGATTTGGGTGACCTGCAGGTCTGGTTCTCTCTCTGCTCCAGTTTTGGGTTCCCTCCTCCAGATATCCCAGAGCCAGAGCCCTGGTGGTGATTGAGCACCCCTGACCCGTGGTGGGAGGGATGAGGGGGGTGTTCCCTGCTCTGGGCACGCAGGGGCTCAGCTCCTCCACCCTTCCCGAGCCTTCTTCCTTCATTTCAGTGGGATAACGTGGTGTCTTCACTCCTTGTCCTGACTGTGAAACAGCTGCTCTGATTCACCCGGATTTCCAGCAGTAACGAAAGCAAAGCCCCAAAGATAAAAAGCTTTTCTGAAGGGCCTTTAGTGCCCTCTTGGCAAAATCACAAGTACTAAACCAGATTCTCCAGCCAGGAAGGAGGAAGGTGTGGGAATGGTGCTGGTGCTCAGGGTGACTTATCCCGGTCCGTGACAGTTTTATTTGTCACCCCTGTGCAGGCTGGGCACGTTCACAGACACAAAAGGTGTTGGATGCAGCTGGCAGGTGCTGTGGTGTGTCCTTGGATGCAGTGCTCTGTCCTTGGGACACAGTGCTCCGCCCTTGGGATGCAGTTGTTGGTCCTGGGGACACAGTGCTCCATCCTTGGGATGCAGTGCTTCATTCCTGGGACACCCTTGGGATGCAGTGCTTCCTTCCTGGGACACCCTTGGGATG